CGGCGGGAGCGCCGCCACGCTCCCAAGCGCCGCACTCTACCGAGTGCGCCACCGGGCCGGCCCCTCAAGCACATCTTTTGTTGCATCCCACAAGTTTTCATATATAGTCATCCCTCAGTATCCGTGGGGGATTGGTTCCAGGACCTTACTCGGATACCAAAATCCACAGATGCTCAAACCCCTGATATAAAATAGCATAGCATTTGCATATAAGATACACACATTTTCTCGAATACTTTAAATCACCTCTAAATTACTTATAATACCTAATACAATGTAAATGCTATGTAAATAATTGTTAAACCGTATTGTTTGGGAATAATGACAAGGGAAAAAAGTTTGTACATGTTCAGAGCAGATGCAGTTTTTTCATCCACGCTTAATTGAATCCATGGATGCAGAACCCAGAGATACAGAAGAGCAACTGTATAGTATTTTCATTAGTACTTAAAAATCCTTTCTTTTATTGTGGTCAATAAATTGTAGATTAGGTACCAGGAGACATGAAAGAATAATCCTTAACATTTTCTTAAGCAGCTGCTATCTCTACTTTGTAGAGGTGCAAACAGGCTCCTACAGCCTTCTACTTAGAAAGCGGCAAGATTTTCTGGGAAGGGAGAAAGCCACCTGGGAGAAAGCTGTTTTGATCTGCCAACTAATTCAGCAAAGATAGTCCTGCTGTGTCCTCAACCCAGTCACATGTTGCTCTTCTTTTGAGAATGAGGCAAATGGCCAAAAAAGGTAACACCTGAGACAAAGAGCAAGTTCTAGGAAAATAATTTTAAAAGTTTCCTTGCAGTTAGTAACAAATCGTCTGCACTTCCATGTTGAGAACTTCCAGGACCTATCCAGACTCAAGGGGAAAGCATGCCGGGATTATTTTGTAATGCCTGCCACAGACAAGTGCTGTGAATTTGCCAGCCCAGTGCTGGGCAAACATTAGTTTGTTCCTGTTTAGATAGCCCAACTATAGGAACTGGAAGCAAATTTCTCAAGGAAACGTACTGATGTTTGTGTTAAAAAAAAGAAAAATCCAATTCATGTTTTATGTCTCACAAGCAGGAACTGCTCTTCCTAGGAAGAGAAGATGCTTTGTTAGCTCAGCAAACCTGAAAGAATGATAAAATATGTAACTCAGAGTGAAAATAAGAGGCCCTATTCAATATCAGAATGCAAAATACATAAACTTTTCTATAAATTAAATCAACTGTTTACTTTTCTTGTCACTTTAATATTTTGATGGAAGATGCTGATTAATGCTAATTAATGATCTGAGTGAGCACTATTGCTTGGTACAATCTCATACTAAAAGAAACCCACCAGTGAATTCTAGAACTTGTTAAAGCTCAGAGCACAGTGGTTCCTAATCTAAGAACTCCTCTTATGACAGTTATTTTTAGAATTCTGCCTACAGCCAAGTCTGAGTGATTCACAATTACAATTCAATAATTTTGAAAATTCCTAGGGGGCTGTGGCTCACAGATAGAAATTACTGATCCAAATCAACCTCGTTTTACACATTGCCAAAATAAGGCCAACAGAGGGAAAGAAACCTACTCACATTCACTCAGCAAGTTTAATGACAACACTCAAACCAGTAAGAGTATAAAATAATGCTGAGACATTCTGTGGTACCAAAAACGTCCTTTATTCTGTATCATCTTATTTGAGTTTTAATATTTTTACACCACAACTGTGAAATGCTTAAGATACAGATTAGTAAATAAAAAATAAAAAATAAATTTCAGTACAGAAAATACATTTACTAAATTAAAGCAAAAACCAAAGAGATCTGGGGAGATCCAAGAAGCAAGACAAACTGCAATCAAAGAGTCTAGAAATACGCAAGGAGCTACTCTTTTGAGTCATATTCTCAGCTTCCAGTGAGCATTTAATAATCATATCAGCCAAGAAAGACCAGAAAAAGGTTTAATGTTTTAAAATATAAGCAAATGTAGACTAATTTTGTACTGTACAAAGTGCTAATTTCAAGATCCATTAAGACACAATATTTAAGAAAAATCAATAAAAATGGACACAACCCAAATTATTGTTAGATATAGTATACAGCATTTTATTGCTAGCGTTTTAAGTCTGTATGAACAACATCAAATTACTTGCCTAGCTAGTTTCTTAAACTTCACAGAAAACCCAGTACAATTCCAAGTGCTTATCATCATAAGCACATAAGAAATATGCTTATATTAGAAATACTTATTCCAATGTTAACAAAGTACTATGATCCTGAAATAGGCCACCTACAGAGTCTAATAACTACAGGTCATCATAGTAACTATATAAATGTGCCAGAATAAACACCGTTATATTCACGAGCCATACTTCATGCGGAGGTGGTCATGAATATGAGGTGATCACTGGACATCTACTTCCAAAGCTTCAACAATATGTGCAGCAGAAGGACGATCTTTAGGGTCTTCGTTAGTGCACACAGAGAAGAGTTCAATTACTTTCTGATATGATCCATCCAGTTCTTCCATATTAATAGGTGGCCTGGTTCCCAGCGCTGCACAGTATGCTTCTTCATCAAAGTCACTTTCATCAAAAGTTTTATCTGCTCATGAAGTTGGAGGTTAAAACAATAAACAAAATCATTTTAAGTCATGGAAAAACATAATAGCTCACCTTCCTGAAACAAGAATTTTATCTTCCAGTATGCTTTCCATTATTCCACAGGCAGTCTCTTCAATTGTCCTGCCATCGAGTGTATTAGCTATTGTCTTGCATCTACAGATTATTGACCTTTACCAGCCCCCCTGCCCCATGATCGTTTTCCAATCTTTTTCTCAGGCAAGGGGAGTTTTTAAGATAACCTTTTGCTCCTCTGGATTTTCTCAATTTATTCCCTATTCTCTATCAATCTATGTCTTATTTGTATGAGATTAAACCTAGATGGTACCAAATTAGTATTAATGTAATCTATATTTTAGAAACTATGCCACTCAATCAAACAACTTGCTCTTAAAATTTTAACTTAATGGGGGCTGGCCAGTTGCTCAGTTGGCTAGAGGACAGCCTTGTAACACCAAGGTTCACAGGTTCGGATCCCAGTATGGACCAGCCACCAAATATATATGAGTGTGTGTGTGTGTGTGTGTGTATATATATATGTTTTAAACTTAAAAGATAATTGTATAGTCTTTAGTGTGAAGTGACGAGACTGGGATTTATGCTAAACAATCTGAATCCATACCTTCATCACCACCACCCAAAAGATTAATATGTGGAATACATAAAGTCATCATTTCCCACAGAGTAAGGCCAAAGGCAAATACATCTGCTTTGTCAGTGATAACGCCATTCTCCTCCAAAGCTTCCTTGGGTTTCCACGGCTCAGTGCCAATGTAACACGCCTCAGGGTCAGTTACTGAAACAAGCAAAATCCAAATAAAATGGTCATGAGAGCAGGCACAAGAAATCACTAAGGCAAGCAACCCAAAGAAAAATAAGCAAATGATATGAACAGATAGTTAACAGGTTAATCAAAGTAGCCAGTAAACATGAAAACATGAAAATACACTCGACCTTGTTAAGGATTACTTTTGCAATTATACCTAATAAAGCTGGGGGGGTGGAGGGGGCAAAGTAATTCAGGTAAATATTCAAAAAGCTGATCAGTTGGCAAGTATGTAAGGAAACAGTAATTCTCTTAGAAAACTGTAGGAATATAAACAGAGTGTGGATGTCAAGATTAGACTCTAGAGCCAAACTGTCTTTGTTCAAAGACATGCCAGTTGTGTGACCCTGAGCAGATCATTTCACCTCAGGACTTCAGTTTCTTCATTTTGTGAACCATCATTAGGCTGAGAGTAGCATTTCTATGCTTCCGTGATAGCTAAGTCAGGGAAGAGGGAAAGGGTCAAATCGCACCTTGGCTCTTAAAGCTTCTGCCCAGGAATGACATAATTCCTTCCACTCACATTTCCATTTAAATTTTAGTCAACTTGTCAATTTCAATGAAAAAGCCAACCAGAATTTTGACTGGGATTGGATCAAATATCTAGATCAATTTGGGAAGAATTAATATCTTAACAGTATTGAGTCTTTCCAGTCCACAATCATGATATATGAGGGGTCTTCAAAAAGTCCATGGAAGAATTCATATTATCCTTCAATTCTATTTTTCCATAGACTTTTTGAGATAAACCTCATATTTCTCCATTTGGTTACGTTTCACTTAATTTTCTTGGTAATGGTTTACAGTTTTCAGTATGAAGTCCTCAGACTTTTTTTAGATTTATTTCCAAATATTTTGGTTTTTTGGTTACTTAATGAGATTTTTTAAAATTTCATTTTCTGAGGCTGGCCAGTTGCTCAGTTGGTCAGCGCACAGCCTTGTAATGCCAAGGTCACAGGTTTGGATCCCCACACCAGCCAGCCACCCAAAAAAGAAAAAAACTTTAAAAAAATTTTTCATTTTCCAATTAGTGTTATATAAAAATGCAATAGCTAACTCCCATTTATTCTAGTAGTTTTATAGATTCCTTGGGATTTTGTACTTAAACAATCAATATCAACTGCAAATAGGGACCGTTTCTTTTTAAATTTTGATGCCTCTTCTTTTTCTTGCCTTATTTTGGTGGCTAGGACTACAGCACAACGTTAAACAGCACTGGCAAGAGCAGGCATCCTGTCCTTGTTCCCTATTTAGGTATAACATTATCTGTAAGTTTTTCTGTACACAGGCTAACATCCCTTCTATTTCTATTTAGCTGAGTTTTTACTTATGATCATAAATTTATCATAAATAGGTGTTGGATTTTGTCAAAGGCTTTTTCTGTATCTACTGAAATGATCACGCCGTTTTCAGTTTTGTTAATATGGTGAATTAGGCTGGCCAATTAGCTCAGTTGGTTAGAGCGCAGTGTTATGATAAGAAGGTTAAGGGTTTGGATCCCTGCAACAGCCAGCTGACGTTAATATGGTGAATTAGGCTGGCCAATTAGCTCAGTTGGTTAGAGCGCAGTGTTATGATAACAAGGTTAAGGGTTTGGATCCCTGCAACAGCCAGCTGACAAAAAAAAATGGTGAAATTATATTGACACCCCTCCCCAGCTTTATTAGGTATTTAGTAATAAAAATTGCATATATTTCAGGTGTCCAACAATGCTTGACACATACATTGTAAACTGATATCCACAATCAAGCTAATTAACATATTTATCCCCTCACATGGTTACCATTTTTTGTTTTTTTCTTTTCTTTTTGTGAGAACACTCAAGATCTCAAGTGTACAATACAGTACTGTTAGCAAAGGGGACAAAGTTTGCAGTTGTGCAGGATGCAAAACTTCTGGAAACCTAATGTATAGCAATGTGCCTACACTGACTTTTGAATGTTAAAACAACTCTTCCTTTCTGGAATAGATCCTAGTTAGTCAGGATGTACTTGTCCTTTCATGTACTGTTAGGCTCAATCTGCTATTCCATCAAAGATTTTGACATCTATGTTTGTGAGAGATGACTGGACTATAATTTCCTTTTTTTTATAATGTGGTCGGCTTTTTTTTTTTTTTTTTTTTTTTTTTTGTAAAGGTAGTACCAAACTTTTAAGGGCTGCCTCGCCCACCCTTTTTTTTTTCTTTTGGTGGCTGGCTGATACAGGGATCAAATCCTGGACCTTGGTGTTATCAGCACCACGCTCTAACCAACTGAGCTAACCAGCTAGCCCGTGTCAGCTTTCGGTATAAGAGTTATGCTGGCCTTGAAACAAATTGGGCAGTAGTCTCTAGTCCTCTACTTTCTGAAAAAGTTTGTGTAAAATTGGTGTCATTTTCTTTTTGATGTTTGATAGAAATCAACAGTAAAAACATCTGGGTCTTGGGCTGGCTGGTTAGCTCAGCTGGTACAATCTTGTAACACCAAGGTCAAGGGTTCAGATCCCAGTACCAGACTACCAGATAGCCACCAAAAAAACCAAAAAACAAAAAACCAAACATCTGGGTCTTGAATTTTCTCTGAGGGAATTTTTTAAAATAGATATAGGGCTATTTGGATTTCCTACTTCTTCCTTTTATCAATTTTGGTAAATTTTATTTGCCAAGGAAATTGTCCTTTTTAGTTAAGTTGTCCAATGTGTTGGCATAAAGCTGTAACAGTCTATTAACCTTTAAATGTATGTAGAATCTGTAGCAATTACCTTTTTTCATTCCTGACACTGGTGATTTATGTTCTCTCTTTTTTCTTGATCAATCTAGGTAAGATTTTATAAATTTTATAATCTTTTCAAAGAACCAGCTTTTGTCTTAATATTTCCTAGTGTGTTTGGTTTTTATTTCATTGATTTCTACTATCTTTATTATTCTTTTCCTTTGACTTAATTTGGATTTGCTTTGCTTTGCTCTTTTTTTTTTAGCTTAAAAGGTCATTAATTTAAAACTTTTCTTTTTTCTAATATAATCATTTACAGCTACAGATTTCCCTCTAAGCCGTACTTTAGCTATTTCTCACACATTTTGATATGTTGTTATTCCCCTTATTATTCAATTCAAAATATCTTCCAATTTCCCTTGTCATTTTCTTTGACCCATAGCTTTTTTAAATTTGTGTTGCTGAATTTCCAGATGGTTGGGGTTTTCCTAGATGGCTTATTGTTAGTGGTTTCTAATTTAATTCCATTGAGGCCAACAAACATACTCTATGATTTCTTCCATAATGTTGTCATTTTTCCTTTTCATACTTAAAAGTTTATCTTCTGCTATAACTAGAATAAGCTCAAACTCTAAAAAGAGAACATTCACTAGGTAGTATTAGAGTATATTATACAGTATATATAACACATATAACATACAAAATATGTGTTAATCAATTGTTTATTGGTAAGGCTTCCAGTCAACAACAGGCTAGTAGGAATGAAGTTCTAGGGGAGTTGAAAGGTCTATGTGTATTTTTGACTGCATGCGGGGGTCGGCCCTACTAACCACCTGTGTTGTTCAAGGGTCAACTGTAAGTCACTTTGAACAAGAGTTAAAAAAAAAAAAGCAGGGGAGCCTGATTAATGAAAGAATTTTCTCTTCAGAACTAAAGGAAAGTTCTGCCCTAAGGGTCTCAAGACATTTACAAGGAAAGAGGGAGAGAACTAACATTTGTAACATTTGAAGAACAAAAGGGAGGTCTAAAAGAAGGAAAAACAAGAATCCAGAAATGAGGAAATGCAAGACTACAGTCAACAAGCACGCATTCAGTCAGTCAGCATTTGGGGGTGTGCCTGATAAGGGAGCAGGCTCTGTCTGAAGATGAAGTGAGAGCAAAGATGCCAGGCCAGGAAAGCACCTAGCTTCAGGAGGCAAGGATGGAAGAGGAATGAAGTCTCTATGGCAGCCTCTGGACTTACTCCAGCTCTGGGCATTAAAGTTTGGTGGGCAGTCATGGACATTATAAGCTTCTTGAAGGCTTTCCCCATACTAACTTATGTCTAAGAGTCACTCCATGGAATGCGTGACTAGACAAGAGAAGAATGTAGACATGGTCCACATGGGCAGTGACTCTGTGATGGTAAGGAAGGATATACACCCCCCATTGTGAGCAGATCAAATTCCTATGGAGATCCACCCAGCTGAAGAGTAGCTTTCTAGAACTCTAGGTCTAATGTAACAGCTCCAATTTTAGACTCTAGCCAGCCACAGTCCTGCATGTCTGCTTACATTTCTCCAAGTCTGTGGTTAGTATTTAAACTAATGGAAGTTGGTCCCCACATAAGTTATTAAATTTTCTCTCTGTGAAAATGAATTGTTCTGAAAACAAAAGTTAGACGAGGTCATAAATTAAAGGTTCAGCCATTCCTTTTTGTCGATACAGAAATAACTTATATTTTATTGCCCTTTACCACATTAAAAGAGTTTAAGCAGACATTGCCTTATGCAGTTCTCAAGGATACTATCCCAAATTGAAAAATGATAAAACTGGAGCTCCTATTCATCCTTCACTTCTCAGCTTAAACATTATTTATTTAGGGAGGCCTTTCTTGACATCTAGACAGGGTAAATTACCACTACCATGTTTACATAATTCCTCGCATCATAACTTTCACTGTACCTTACTATTAACCATTCAAGAGCTGCTTTCCCTCCTGGATTACAAGCTATAACAGGATAAAGGACTGTGTCTATCCCATCTCCTCCATATTCACAGTGCCTACCATGTATTTAGTATTAATCATATTCGCAAATAAATTAATAAGTTTCGAGTAAGCACAGTTAAGATTTTGCTTTCCATAGAACACCTATGTATATTTTAGTTATGAAACATGAATAAATTACCTATTAAAAAATAAAACAAAAATAAATTTTAAAAGATTTGGGTATTTTTTTTTCAAACATTTCTTCATGTATATATAAATACATATTTTAAGTGCTATTTTATAATCTGT